CTTTTGGGTTAAGGAAGAAATAATTAATATTTGCCATATATATCAAGCAGAATAAGTCTTAAACATTTTATTCCTTTAAGAACTAAAGGTAAAATTATCATTAACAAACTATTGATAATAAAAACATAGGGACATGAGACAACTATCAACTACTAGTATGCAAATATGTTCAAGAACGTTAACATATTCAGGTCACCGTACGGCCTTCAACACAAATGTTTGACTGTGCTTTCTTAAAATATAATTAAGCTGTACTTTTGTAGTAGATAAACAACCACCCAAGAGTTATTAGTTATTTCATGTTGTATATACCACTTAAATGTCACATAACTATCATCTATGTTTATTGTCAAAGTAAATTAACAGTTATTGTAATTCAATTTTATGATCAAAGAGTCGTAAGATACCAAAGGGATATTCAACCTCATCAGTCAAAAACAAACTGGTAATGCCAAAGCAAATAACAAAAAACGACCATTAGACAAATATTAATACAAAAATACAGCAGTGAAAAATAAAGACTGAGCAACACGAACCCCTACCAACAAAATGGGTGTACTCTGGTGCTCCGTACGGGCAAGAGGATCATGTAGCAAGTCAGTGATATTGCAGTTGTTTTTTTACTTGTTCCGTTGGTTGATAGCGTTTTGGAGTTAAGTATTTTGTTATACCTTTTTCACATGTGACATCCGTCGTGTTACTTCTATAAAATACGTTGATAAATTATAGCAAGTGATTTGACATCACACAATAACGGATTGGTAATTTTGATAAGACATCACCAAATTCTAAACCATTTGTCATGTAAAATTTTCGATACCTGAAAGTTGACACAATGTAAACAAATTTAATTAGAAATACATTTTTCATCACAAAAAACAATTATCATTTAATATTGACATGTTAAATAAGCCAGGATTAGATATTATAATTTAAATTAAGCATCTGGCGTATACAATTTTAATCCTGGTATCTATGATGAGTTGAGTTGAAGCTCCAATGGCCTTAAAGACCATGGTACATGTAGCTATTACCATCAATTGACGTTCGACATAGTTAACTTTAAAAAAAGTCGTCTCTAAAACTACAGGGCCTATGTAACCAAACTTTACGTGAAAGAGAGGTCGAATATTTAAAAGGGCCATTCAAACTCAGAATGGAAAACAAATTGACATCGCCATAGAAAAAAAAACATGATCAAACGACAAACAACAGTAAACAAAACACAACATAAAAAGCTAAAGACTGAGCAACACGTGGTGAACTCAGGTGCTCCGAAAGGGAAAGCAGATCCTGATCCACATGTGGCACCCGTCGGGTATAAACCCGATGATAAGTCTAGTTCGGTAGGTTACATTCTTGGAAAAGAGGATGCAATGTATACCACTCTAAGAAAAGGTATTTCTACGTACATTATCAATTCTTTTTTATGGAACAAAGCAAGGCCAATTTTGTAAAAATCTACGTTGTAGTTTACATAGTATATCCAGGGAAATCCATAATTTCAGAAAAATCTGATAATCCATTTTGTAGTAATTGGTCCTGAAATATCAATTTTAAGCAAAAAACAAAGCTTTTAGGTTACATCTAAAAAACCGAAGCAGTTACGTCAAAACTGACAAGATAAAAATTATCAGCATGGCTATTTCTAGGCAATTTTAAGAAAAAATTGGTGAACAAATTCTGTAGTTATTGCCCATAAAATATCTTTTGTTTTTTACTATTTCTATTAACATATGAAAACAATTATAGGAAAAGTCCATCTTCAAAAGTAAAATTCATCAGACCAAATTTACGCAGTGATGTTAAGGCACTTTACAAGAAAAATGCGTGAAATTGCATGTTATATTGAAGTGCATATCATAAGAAAATGGCAAAAAAATCAGGAAAACAGAGATCGTAGAATGAAACATAAAGACCTATATTAAATATTGCATGGGTGTTTCATATCGAAAGTGAAAGTAGTCACGTGACCCGAGTCGCCACTGAAGGTCGTACATTACATTTTCAACTCAAAAGTCCAGCGTGTTAAAGGAATCTTTGAATGTGAAACAAAGTATCAATACATTCGTTTGAATGTATATTTTCTAAAAACTGCTATCCAAAGATTGAACTATACTGTCTTACGTTGAAAATTAATGTAAATCCGATGGAAAATGTGTTTTTTTAACGAAATCCCCATTTGATATTATGATATCTCAATGATATGAACGCATACCAGTGTTTGGATAGCAGTTTTCTTTTAAAATAGATATCAGTCGTTTTAAATCATGTCCAATCAAGTAAATCCATCTTCAGTAACACACTGGACTTTTTAATTTTTTAATCGTGTACTGTGTAATATTGTTTTACGTTCATTATCAACAAACGCTTTGATGACGTGATCGGCTGTACTCAATAGCGCACAAAACTCCGGAAAAGTATAAGTGCCGCGTATTTTAAACTACGGACTTCAAGTAATGTTTTATTTGTATTAACTAATATTGGAGATATATTTGTTCAATGATTCATTGAATATATATATTTGCCACTTTTATCCTTTTTTTTAAGAATAAAAACAAAATTTGTTAAAAAGACCTTAAAACAACAGTATTTTCCCAGATTTGCTTTTAGATGTGCATTTTTTTTTTATTATATAGTTCGTGTTAAATTAAAGTTTAAACAAATTTGTGAGAAAAAAATATAAAAAGGATGCATGAATCCCTTCCTTTGAGTCACGCCTGTGATTTCTGCCATCAGTGTGTGTGTGTGTGTGTGTGTGTGTGTGGGGGGGGGGGGGGGGGGGGTCATCAATGTTAAGTGTAATGTTAATAGCCAATCAGAGATTCTCATAATGACTATTATCAAAATACAAAATTAGATATCTAAACGTTCTCTACAAATGCTATTTCTTGAACTTGAAGAAGCTATAAATGTCCAAGAATATCAACATTTCATGAAGCACCCTCCTTCCCACCATGTATTAAAATGTAAACTGAAAAAACAAAGTCCATTCATCAGTAAAATTGGGTATAAAAAAAAAAAAAACTTTGCTAGTTTTTATCTCATATATATGAATAAAAGAGCTAATCTGCCCAATATAAATAATAATCTATCAAGGTGGGAGACTATCTTAACGTTAACTGTAAAAAATAATTCTGCTTTCGTGAAATATAAAAAGAAATCAAAATTTGGCTGTGGCAATGTCCCAAGTTTCGTAAACTCTTGATTTTTTTAATTGCGCAACACCTACCTGATTCCAGTCATAATTCTTATTTGTATGGATTAACAGTTGACCTGCATTTTTTCGACAACAAAATTTTCAGCAGACACCACTCTCAAAGTCAGTGTGAAAAATTATGTACTTTGGTAAATGTTTGAAGTGGCAGAAATTGGTAATGGAAAAGAGAATATAACGAAGAATCATGCAACTGAGCTAGGGTCTCAGAATATACAAATTGTTTGCTGTACTATAAACACTTCCACAACAGGTTCAGTTATTTTTTTAATTATATTTTCTACTGACCACTGATCCAGCAAAATTTACACTGCTCAAGAATTTCAATCACACTAAAATCATGTGGTCAATATTCAAGCGAAATTTATGAAATTGTTCTATGCTGTGTTCCACTACTCTTCGAGGTTAGAGTTTGAGCACTCACAAATATGTTTAACCCCACCACATTCTTTATATGCCTGTTCCAAGTCGCAAGCCTTTAGTGCAGTGGTTGTCTTTGGTTAATGTCCGTCTTATGGAATTATATCACATTTACCAGACTGGGGCCTTTAATAGCCAATACTATAGTATGGGTTTTCTCATTTTTGAGGGCTTTACAGTGGCTAAGTATATTTGCTTACATGTACATCTACTTCATTTAAACTCTAGTGGGTAGTTGTGTCAATGGCAATGATAGCACATCTCATTCTTTGCAGTGTATGGAGGACAAAACATAATCTGTTTTGTCACTCAGCTCAGACAGGATAGAAATGAGGCAGGCGAGAATTCAAATTATACCTGTGTTGATGTCTTGTACACAATGTCAAATATCTTTTTATTCTATTTTGAGACCATGTATATATACCGGTATATATTTAATCTACAATGTATATTTAGCAATTATGCACCTTGATCAACTTAACAATCACGCCATTGTCCTTATAATAGATTTTTAGAGATTCTTTCAGTGGCAATCATATCACCTTATGATTTTCATGCCAAACCAATATCAATAAAAAAGTACAAAGTGGATATACTATAAGCTGAAATAATTGGTATGGGATTTGCTCATTGTTGAGGGCCATAAAATGACCTGCAGATGTTTTTAAATTTCTGTGTCCTTTTGTCTTTTGTGGAAAGTTGTCTCATTGGCAATGATACCATATTTTCTTATTTTTATAAGGAATGCAGATCGTAATATGTGACATGTCTAGTCATCATATTTTTCATGCAAGGAAGGAGATTAGTAATTGATGATATGTAATTTATTTCTTGTATTTACATTTCTGATACAACATATACATGAAATACCATTTTACTCCATAAAGAAAAGAAAATCCACAGATTTCTATTTCAAAGACCTTCACTCTTGGTATTAAATTTTCTAAAGTAAACAAACAAACAAACAAACAAACACTTGTTTTTCTGAATCATTGATCATAAACAAATATCAATGCATTTTTTTTTTAAAATGAAGTAACTATCATTTTAACAGATGAATAGGGTCACAATAACTTATGCTATAAACTAACTATTCATTGAGTAAAAAACAACTAAGAATGTCCAGTGTCATCTTAAAATTAAATTGTAGCTAATACGTCTCCTGGTTTAATATATTATCGGAAAGCTTTAAAATGTTGCTTCAGTTTGAAACATTTCCAAAAAATTTACATCTGTACTATAAGCACATAGTTGTATTAGTTCTTGATCCTTTTCATTAATTCTGTCTTGAACGTAACAAAGATTTTTTTCTTCTCCAGAGATGTGTCTAATTCTATCTGACATGTCTGACGAGTAACGAAAAAGTGTAACAATATTAAATTTAGGTTACACATAAATCATTGTAAATAGTAGCTGGAAATGTACACTCAGGTATTGAGTAAAGCTGAAATAGAAAAAAAACAAAAATTACTAATCACACAAACTAAACAACATTATCCCACAGGCAATAAACAGAATGCAGGGACAGCAGTTTTAACATATTAAAAAGTAAAAATCTAGGCAATAGACCAATAGTTTGTCAATAGAGCATCAGAATATAACCCCAAACTGTGCATGTTATGCCCCATTCAAAGAAGAGTATGAGGAAAGTTATTGTTCTTCCAATGTTAGTCCACCCTACATAGTGTTAATGGTCTTTTCATTGAGCAAGTCCTTATTTTTTAAGGCTAGGACTTTTTACATTATAAAAGGCATAAGTAAATATATTACTGCTGTGCATTTTATCAGGATTCATTGTCTTTCTTTATATATTTTCCTCAAATCACAGGAATTTGAACTTTGTCGTTTGTTTAAATTTAGTGAAATTATTCATGCTAGGTACCTGTATATGGTTTTTCAAGCACACACTTGCAGTTTTTAAATTCGAACTTTACTACTTTGCAGGATGTTTGTTCTTTAAGAATACATGCAGATCAATAGTTTGTATATAATAAGGATTTTTGATGTTCCTTTAATTTTCCACAAAATTAGAACTAGTAATTTTCCTAATGCAGTAATGAAAAGTCCTGTATATTCATTTGTCCTAGCTATAGCTAGTAAATAAAACAAAAGAATAACATACATGTACAGAGGCACATTTTTTATAAAGATGAAAGTACCAGAATCAAAATTGTAAATAAGAAAAACATTCTTCATAAATTGTTAATGTGCAAAACTTGAAATATTGCTTATTATGTGAAATTTTAAAGTCCCATCCAATAACTCTTGAACGAAATTAAAGGAAATTAATGCAAAGCCTAATTCTTTATAATTTGGTAAAATTAAAAGTTAACAAGATTTACTGACTATGATTGTTTTTCATTTTCTGTCAGTTGACGGACATATTAAAAAGAGAAGGGTGTCAGATAAAACACTCATGCACTGTACTGTAGTGGTTAAACAGGCTATGTCATTCGACCTGAAAAGTTCTCAATTAGACCCTGAAAAAGGCAAAATGTTTTTAAAGTCTTCTTCTTTTGATGTCTCTACTAAACAACAAATAAGTATAACATCAAACTTTTGTTACAATCACTTACCCTTGAACAGTCACTGAGTCCAGATTATGGAAATGAATGCACTAGCCCATCTGACACCTTAGGTACATTTTTTGCAAGAACGCTCAATCATCAGGTTTTCAGATGAATTGAAGAGGGATCCAAATCTTCATTCATTCATATCTGTTTCCTAAAATAAAAATGTTATAGATAATTGCAAATAACTGTAAACAATATTATCCTAAACAAGATTTAAGCATATCTACTAGTATTACCATGATAACAAGAGCCTTTATGATATATAATCATGTAAATTTTGAAAGTATTGCAATTGTTTAGTATTGCGACCATTGAAAACAGAACAAAAGTGCAAGATTAATTATTGCTCTTTCATGGAAATATGCATACAGACTGTTTAAACATAACTGTTTCCAAGCAACAGAAGCAGGATACCAGAAGATTAAATATTCCTATAATATAGCTTTATCTCTTTAGATTATCTGTACATCTGTATTTGTATAGTAAAATGTTCAACAATATTTAATTATGAACTGAATTTAAACCAAATCTATTGATGTGAGCTGATGATTTTTTTGTATCACAAACATGCCTTTACCATAATTTGTAATTATATTTGAACTAGCTTTCAGTAATTGCAAGTACTTTGTACCTTTTTGTTTGTGCTACGTGTTGATCTGACGATTTAGTCGAGCCTTTTTCACCAACTTTGACCATTGTTTACAGTTTGTTCCTATGTTGTAATGATACACTACTGTCCAAGGTTAGGGGAAAAAAAGGGGGGGGGGTGGGGTTTATAGCTTAATATGGTATGGGTTTTGCTTATTTAAGACAGCAAAGCAACCTGTATGTCCAGCCTTGGTCGAGACCATTTCAGACTATTTAAGTAAAGTCAAGACCAAAGTCGAGTACAGTTAAGTACTGTCGAGACAAGTCGAGTAAAATCTGTGCTCGACTTTACTGGTCGAGCACAAAAACTGGTCTTTTCAGACTCTGAGCAGTTTGTAGTGTATATATAGATGCATACATCTACATCATTTGGTGGATAGTAGTCTTATTTGCAGTCATGCCACATATTCTTATCTTTATATTTAATAGATTTTCTTATGAATTAAACTATTTGTTATATGAATCTAATGCTCCATATTTGCATATAGGTCTCTGTACAGCCTGATTTATGTACATGTACAATAACAATAAATGAAAAAAAATATGATGTACTAAAAACAAATGATAACCAGTTTTAATAAGGAGCAAAAAGTAAAATGCATCAATTTACCTGTTCAAATAATAAAGCTTTCCAACCATTTTAAAGCTTTTAATACTTCATCATAGTGGGACTGGCACTCTGTATCTTGTATTTGACAGGTCAACTAAAAATAAGAGAAAGTAATTATTTAACATGTTAAGTACATACACAGATCCTTTATTTTACAGACGTACATCATGTACATGTATAAGGATTGCAGGCTTTATTTTGAACATTTCTAATTGATCCGTTTCAAATACTAACTTGTCCATTAAGAATTGACAGAATCTGATTTCATGGCTGTCATGGTTTAATTTTAGACACTGACAACTGGACAAAGAGTTCTAGTAATCTTTTTTCCCTAGTGGTCCTTAAAGAAAATCTGCTAGTCCTCACTTTATTTCTATTGCAAAATACAAAACTTGCATCAGTCCTTTGAAAATTATTGGTAGTCAAAACCTGCGGACAACCACTTTTTGAGAACTCTGGTATTTTAATACTATTTGTAAGAATTAAACCCTACACCATGTACACCAACCTTTGTTAAAATATATATTTAATTTAAAATCACAGCAACCATAAATAATTTCCCAAGGGAGCAACCATTTAACTTCCAGGGGAGGGGTTATGGTTTTCGCTACCGTTAGCATCAAATGAGCCTTAACTTTTCATCTCATATCTCATTTTGTTGCTACTTGGCATAAAATGGAGTAAAATGTTTATCTTTAACATTATTTGCACAAATATTTTACCGTCATTCGCCATTTGGGGTACCCCATTCTTACCCTCTTAAAGTCCTGTAACTATTGAATGACAGCCAAATTTTTTTAAAATAAAATCTTGATATTGTTGTGATCAAATTACATCAAATTTAATTTATCTTACAAAGTGTTGACAGACAGATGGACATCATGGACATTGGTACAGTTAATATGTCTCGTCTCCGACAAGTGTATAAAAAGTCAAGTGTTTGAAAATTTGGTAACAGTAGCCATGTCTAGATAGATCACTTTGGAACAAAAATCACTCTACAATATTTAAAAGAGTGCACACGAATGCCCCGGCTCAAGCTTTGCAATTTTCCAAGTTGAAAAGGGGCATAACTCTAGAACGGTAAATGAATCACAACCGAAAGTCTGTCTGAGTGTTGTGGTTCTTAGCAATCGTGTATGAGTTTCATAAAATTTGCATGAGACATACTAAAGTAATTGCGGAAACTAAAATTTGGCTGGACAGACAGCACTAAATGCCCTTGTTGCCTACGTAGCAGGCCATAAAAAACACCCACAGATTGTAGCGATTCATGTGTCCAATGTAATTTGTATGTTTTAGGGAACAACTTTAACCTTTACTAAGATTATGAAAATCTCCCAAGCACCTTTAACATTTATATAAAAGTACTACATTTTTTAAACCATTTAACAAAAAATTTACACACACATTTTCGGTTGCGTTGTAAAGTCCAAAATTGTCTAACTTTTGTTTTATTACATGGCAACACAAAATCCATGGATAGTTCCAGGCCTCATTTAAAACAATACAACATGTATGAGGTTTGATTACCAGTCATGCCAATGAGCATGATGAGACAACTATCTACCTGAGACCAAATAAAGTATATTTTAGCAATTATATGACTATATGTCACTGTATATCGTGTACTTGTATAAATTTATTCTGTAATTTGTTGGTCTCTAGGGCCTATAATGTTTGAGGTGTTCCAAGAACTATATTAAACTAAGAAAAAAATACAAGCAATATTTACAGAGGCGGATTTAGGAGGGGGGGGGGCTTTTGTGGGAAAAATTTGGTTGATTATATAGGGAATCACTGAAGCATGACTGGAGCAGGCCCCCTCTTAGGCAGTCAGTGGGCCCCCAGTTATGAAAAATTCTGGATTCGCCACTGATTTAGTGTTAATTTACAACTACATGTACATCAACATGCTCAAATAAAGCAAGCCTACATTTTTTGTATTTAAGCCAAGACTCTGCTTCATGATTCCACCAAAATGAAATTTTCATTGTTCAGTATATATACCCAGCTAAAAATTGATTGTACCTAGATAGTATATAGATTAGACTGTTGATTTGTATCGTTTGAATGGATTAACACTAGTCATTTTTGGGGGCCCTTTATAGCTTGCTGTTCGGTGTGAGCCAAGGTTCCATGTTGAAGACCGTATATATCTATAATATAATAGTTTTTTCTTAGAATCTTTACTGTAAATTCTTAAATTTTTGTGCATTTATTATAGAATGGACAAAAATATGAGGTTAATTTAATATTGCAAATTCTGTGACAGGAAAATCTGTATACAGATACATGTATCTGATACCAGAATGTGAGTTTTTATTATTGTGATACTTATCCAGTCGCTTTATTCACATTCATGAAAACCTCGCATTTCGCCCGAAGAGGTCCAACCCTGAACAGTTGGGGCAAAAATGGACACAATATTCAAGCTTGATACATGTCTGAATTTTGATTGTAATTAAATATTTGACATATTATAGGTTTGTGAATAAATGTAGTCAAAGAACTTGAAATTGGTTATATGAATTGAATTTATATTCAATTAAAGATTTCTTGCTGTTGTGCAATGCACTGTGCTGTTGCGCAATACTTAGTAAATCTGTTGTCAGACTATCAACAAATAAAGTTCAATTAATTCTCAATGTCGTATTAGAAATTTATGAAAATGTAAAGGGAGCTTACATCAATAGATATTAACAATTCACCATAGTTTCATGAGAATAGCTGACAGCATTTTTGAGTTATTGTCCGAAAACTGAAAAAATACTCCCTTTTTTAATGAATAAAACCCCATAACTCAGAAACCTAAAATGTAAAATTTATAAAATTCTTAACGGAGCTTACATCAATAGATATTAACAATTCACCAAAGTTTCATAAGAACTGCTGAAAGCATTTTTGATTTTTTGTCGGAAAACTGGAAAATCCCCCTTTATTATGAATAAAACCCTGTAACTCGGAAACGTAGAATCTAAAATATATAAAAATCGAAAGGGAGCTCATGTCAATAGATATAAACAATTGACCACAATTTCTTGCAAGTTGGTGAAGGCATTCTTGAGTTATTGTCCGAAAACTGGAAAATCCCCCTTTTTTTAATGAATGAAACCCCATAACTCGGAAATGTAAAATTTAAAATTAATAAAAAACGAAAGGGAACTCAGGTTAATGGATATAAACAATTCACCAAAGTTTTATGCAAATTGGTTAAAGTGTTTTTGAGTTAATGTCTGACATGTTGACGACTGACGGACAGAGGTATACCATAATACGTCCCGTAAACGGGCGTATAAAAAGAACATGTCAAGGTGGGCAGTCATGATTAACAAACTACATAATATATATCTTTAAGTCCAATAATATTTTGTCATGAAAGGCTTCTTTAATTTTTTGCTGTGATGTCTTCCTAAGATGGACTGTCATCATGGTTATATATATGAAGGCTTCACAGTAAAAAATCAACAAATCTGCCTTTCAAGAAATCATAATATTATATTATTTAGACTATGCATTTAAATTGGTCAATTCAATCAACAAGTATATACATTTGCTATTGGTCATATCAGAAGTCCATTACTAGACGAAGTGTGCAAGCTGTGCTATATAGTAAGGCGATCACGATGTCCCCATAATCAGTGGAAAGCGTCATATGTGGTCCTCCCAAATCTCGTTTTACAACTATGGAATCATGGGTAGAAATATTATCATCAAACAGATAGCTGTTAATTAGTCTCCTTGAGTGTTTGATTAATTATCAGTTTGTTGAAAATGAAGTGAGCCGACTTGGTGTGGTGGATTCTTATCGTCAATTATTTAACTTCATTTTCAACATTTAGAAAATGATATAAAATTTTAAAAAGAATTCATTATTACCAACTTCATCGCGCAACGACAAAACTATAAAATCATATCTAGATTAAATCTGTAGTGTAGGACTAATCGTGTATGGTCTGTTTAAAAGACATGATAGCTGTTTTTGTCAAAATTGCCTATTTTTATAAGACATTGTGTTGACGAATTATGTCTCGGTTATTTACGGCACCAGGGAAGCTAATTATACAGTGATGAATTAGCAAAAGACGGGATTTTCTTCGCTAAATACATTTGTCTAAAATAAGCGACTATTTGTTGCTTCAGATGACTTCGAAACAATTTCGAATTTCAAAAGTCTCTTGCTTTTTTTTTTAGCTATTTTTAAGCAAGAGACATACATCTCCATGATATCCGTCATTATGTTTGCCATTATAAGATTTATATACGTACGCGAGTCAGTTTTGCAATGTGTCATGGTCCTTTTTTGTCGTTTTATATTCACAAGACTGAAGACACCGTTATATCATGCAGATTTAAGCTTTGATTGATCGTTTGTTGCTATCTTATCGTTCAGTGGCATATATATCACACATTTTCCATTAAAGAGTAATGTCGCAAGTGTTGTTTAACATGCAGAAAGCGTAACATTAATCCTGAATAAGCGATGTACTGGGTTTAAAGTCCCTCCTCCGACATGACATGGCTGCTACTAATTAATACAACCCCACACTTGTAAATGTTGTAAGAAAGGGTTTTACTGTTGGAACCGGATAATTCCAGGGATTACTTTGTTTTTTTACCCAACTCAACCCTTGAGATTGATTTAGTATTTTAATAAATTAAATCAAATTTTCATACAGTTAGGTTTTTGGAAGTAATTTAAGTCTTCGTCGTATTTCAGTATGAAGTATACTTACATAAATATATATTTATTACTCATTTGTTTAAAAAGATCGTGATCACAACTTTTCCTACAATTTTTACCTGTAAAATTAATGTCGAACGCACGTGTCATGAACTGCATTTTTTAAATGTATTTTAACGGATGAATGTAATAATATCTGACTAAAATAATAACATTTGTTCGTCCACACCATCATCAGAGGCAGTATTACTGTCAAGATCTCAGTAACACAGGATTTAAGATAGCAGTCGAAATTGAAGAAAGGGTATACAATTATCATCCCTGCTTTTTTCAAAATTTAAGGTACAATGTGTTAATTGTGCTAAAAATGTTTATATCCGAAGAAGTCCCGTGCAACTTAAAAAAAACTTATTTTTTGAAATTTGTAAATAGTAACATATATTCTTACGATCATCGGTACAGCGCATATATGTACTAACCAAGTGGGCGTGATCGATTTTTACCTGACACGGTAAGAAAATCTTTCTTTTGTTTACATAATATCAATGTGTACTTCAATCTAAACATAATTGTTGTTTTACGAAATGATTTGGTCGTAGGTTGATGATTAGAGAAGTCTCATTATTTTCCCAAAACAAGAACGCTTACTAAAACATGTGCAAATACTTGTCCAAGAAATTGGCACTTGTCTCATCCGATATGATTCTATATTCATTGCAAATCTTTTTCTGATAGAAGGCCACTGTGTGTGCGTAATAAGAATAGCTGTTTCAATAATTGGCATTGAAACCTTTCATACATGTGTTATTTTTCCATATTTTATTCCGAAAAGAAGCGTTGTGTACGGTGTATAGCTGACCACATAAATTCTTCTGTAAGAACAGTGACTGCATATAGTTAAGTGAATGTACGGTATATAGCTTTTCAGGCTTCGAAGTACCTATAACGGCTATATCCGCTGTACAGATGATACACGGTGCTATATACTGTTAAGTTCTAATAAACTAATTCCTATTCAAGTGTTAGAACTGTATTTGGATACACAAATTTCCGACCTAATTTTAAATTTCAATTTTTTTTTACAATTAACCGTTCTGACACCAAACGTTTATTGTATTAAGATTCTCTAATTAAGAAGTGAGCTTTTTTTTATTCCGTCTTCATGGTCTTGATAATATTTCTACGGTTATAATTGTAGTTTTTAAATTTGATAAATAATACAAATTTTTTTATTACTTAGTAATGAAAACATCATAATGATTCCTGACACTGATATAATATGGCATCTGCTATTCATTAACACGTCGATGGTCAAACATTATTTTCAACTGTGTGCTAATTAAGTTATAGGGTGTTTCCCATAAATTATCTCTACCCAGAAGGCATCTAAAAAAATTTGGCCATTGATTTTTGTTACTTTAAATAGCAATCTCGCTCAAATTCCGTTTCAATCACAGTTGGAAGAACGGGGAAAACGTGAGGGCCTTATTATATAGCAGGTTGTACACTTCGTCTAGTAAAGGACTTCTAGTCATATTGATGACTTTAAGTACATGTGAAAAATATTATTTTTATGATAATTTATCCAAGGTGCAGGCATTTATCAGAGAAAGATGCAAGGTTCAGGATAAGTCCAAATAATTATGACATCTATGAAAGAATTTCATGCTGTTTTTTTTTAACGACATTATATATGAATGATGTCGTTACAAAAAAAAGAATTTCATGCTTATTTTGCTTTCAACTCTTTCAACTTCTAGCATGTTCTAGTAGGGATCTAAAAATAGGGTGTTGAAAAATACCTAAAGCCTTCAGCAAAAAAATATTGTAATCTGGACTAGAGACTGGAATTTGGGGGGAAAGGGGGGGGGGGGTTAACATCATGGTCTGTGGGCTCCAAATTAAGGGATCAGGGTTCCTTGTGTCCCAGGCTCCAAATTAAGGGCTCATGAGTCATGGTTCATTCGAACAAGGTAGTGTGCCCAAGGCTCCAGTGTTCGGTCTCCATGCTTTGGGGGTAGGGATCCCAGCTCAAGCAATGTGGGCACCGGGCTCCGAAACAACTGTGGAGCCAGTGTTAAAATTTACCCGACAGGATGCATACAAACCGTAAATTAGAAACGAATTACAGGGCGAGTGTTGAGAATGGGATCTTGGCAAGATGTAGAGAACTTATTTCATCCGATATTCTGTTCATTTACTGACTAGATTCTATAAATTATTCCTATTTCCTATATTATTTGCAGTCTACTTTCGTTTTGACCACGTGTATAATAATACTTGCTAACACCGAACTCGTTTTTTTTTCTTATAAAATGCCGTTTTTCGCCATCTGAAAGGAATGATTAACAAAAGAAACAATGTATGTTTCATATATTTTACAAATTTGGTGTCTTAAACTAACTTTTCTTGTTAGATTTTCACGTAGAAGTGAAAATATTTTCCGCAGCAAGGTGCTTTCCATTCTGCAAACCACAAGCATCTTTCCGACGGCGATCGTCTTCTGATTGGTTGATCCTCAAAGGGAGGCCGGGTCCAGGAAGCGGACAATCTTCGCAAGAAAAACAGCTATTGCAACCGTTTACAATATAATTAAGGCAAAAAACATACAATATTCGCGTCTCAGTAAATAAATTACACCATATTGATACCCGTTTTTAATTCACATGCATGTATGTAATTTGTTATCATACATTTTTATCGATAGACGCAGCTTTCGGGCTCATCGCCATTAATGAATATATGAATATTTAATGAAGTCTTTGCGGAGTTACCTCCCCCTGACCAAATCTAATCGAAATTGCCTTAACATCACTGCGTATCAAGTCATCAAAGTCAGAAAATATCGTACAGACTTATGTTAGTCCACAGGAAAGTCCAAGACATCATTTTCTAGAAACTAATGTTAAAAATACCCATTCATAAATACAGTGATTAATATGAAAATTTTGACATTTATTCCACCACAATTTAATTTTGGATGTTACGCGTCTTCTGACTGGCTGACGTTGTTTTGTTTATCAGCTCATAGACATAATTTTGTCATGTGACCGTGACGTCATCAACGTTTTTTCATGGTTTACTCCGGTTTAAAATGGAATTTAGAATTAAATTACAAGAAATGACTGTAAAATGTTTTCTGTCTATTCGAAATAACATAAAAAATGTGGTGCACACTTTAAAATAACCCGCTACGCGGGTTATTCAGTGTGCACCACATTTTTGATGTTATTTCTTCATAGACAGAAAAACAATTACAGTCATTCCTTAAGTATTCTGTGTGTTTTACATCCCTGAATATTCATGCTTATGTTTGAGTGTTCCTGATGATGATAATGTTAAAAAAGAGCAACGGACGCAGCTAATTTATAAAGTATTATTTTCTTCTGTTATAGTTATTCCAGTTGAATAATTATTTATACTCGTTTATTTTTTTCTATTTAAAATATAATAACTTTTAGTTGCTAACTTGAAAAGAAAAAAGAACAGCAAATTAAGCCCTACAAAAGGATAATATGGTCGACATTTCAATTGATCACATATGGGAGAGGAGTAATTGCCCTAAATAGATATAAGAAGATGTGATATGAGTGCTTATGAGACAACTCTCCATCCAAGTCACAATTTGTAAAAGTAAACCATTATAGGTCAAAGTACGGCCTTCAACACGGAGCCTTGGCTCACACCGAACCGCAAGCTATAAAGAGCCCCGAAAATGACAAGCGTAAAACTTTTCAAACAGGAAAACCAACGGTCTAATCTATATAAAAAAGAGACGATTTCTACCCATTTTTTAGGTTATGCAGAAAGTATAATAGATCGGGAGACCTGTAAAATGCGTAAATATTAACCAAATAAGATATAAAAATAAGTCATTATACGCAAAAATGTCAGTTGATTCCTTATTGGAGTAAATTTATTGTGTTTTTGGCAGATACTGTATAAGAGAAACAATATTCATAGCAATCATCTTCAGCAACATAATTGATTGATTGTTGTTTGCTTTACGTCCAGTTACAAAAAATTTTTCCTTGACCCAGGAGGACGCATTAACAATTAAACCAACATGTAGGTGTCTGCCTGGATAAATGGCTGGACATTCAGAATGCTACTGGAAAATGAGGGTATATTGAATATGGATATAATTAACCTTGCATCAGGCAACATAAAGGTTGTTGCAGGGGTCATTACTGTACAGAGCGCGAGGCACTTTATGTTTACGAGGCATTGGATTTAACGTCCCAATTCTGACCGAATCTGGCTGCGAATTTGTCAATTAATCCCTCATAGAAGTGTTTACCATAAACCTTTCATATCGAAATCTATTATACTTAGCAAGAACTTGTATCAGTCACAATGATCAGCAATGCAATATTTACTTTAAACTAGATTTAAGTTTAGGCTAATTACTTCGAGTAACTTTTGACAGGTTAGCAAATCAGGCACTTAGATGATAGACAAAAAATTGCATGTTATAAACACAATCGTGCGTAGAATTTACTAATTAATTAGACAAACACATTGAGCACAGTTGCGTTATTAAACTATTGTTGATGTCATCCAGTGGTACTTTTTCTGTAACGTTGTATTCTAATAAAATGAACTGACTAGCAGACAACAAACTATACAGAGAATTAAATAATTTTATGCATACAACATGTATAACAATAAGCAGACAATAATCGCAAAAGGTTTGATATTTTCACATTTTCCCGAAATTTAGTCGAGTAGTACGAAACGATCTTTGACATGTTCGAGTAATATCACGATGATACCTTAAACCTTAGTGGAATTTAAAGTTTTGTACATAATTGACCATATAACATATATTGTTGGGGAATAAAGATAACAATTGCCATATTCCTGACTTGGTACAGGACATTTTAAGAAAAAAAAGGTGGATTGAAACTGGTTCATGGCTAGCCAATCCTCCCGCTTATATGGCAATGTTAAAAAATATCGCTAAAATGACACACAGACGTATACAAATATATATTTTACTCGTAATAAAACAACTTTTATAAATATCATGAACGTTGCTTTTGTGTAAATATATGCTTCTTGTCTTAATAAAAATGAGATACAAAATTGCGGCTTTTTTTCTTCGCATTGAATTAAAAACAGATATATAATGCTTGGCGGGAAACATGCAATACACAATACAACAAAGTATAAATACTGATGTATGGCAGTCTATAAGTATCACGTAAACACCACAGTAATAGCATTTGATAGGTTATTATTAAGTTTCTATTTTTGAATTAATGGCTAAAAGAAATGACTTTTAAAACCATTTTTAAGAAAAATGTTTTTATTTTCATTTTCATTTTATTTGTATGAGTGTATCCTTGTGCCTGGGTGACATGTTGTCCTAAACAGCTGTTTATAATATGAGTGTATCCTTGTGCCTAGGTGACATGTTGTCCTAAACAACTGTTTGTTTTTATTACCTCTAAGAATTCGCAATTTTGTTATTGTCTTTAGAAGACTAAAACCATTAGTAAAATGTATTATCGACTTTAATAGGTTTTATAGTATTCAATTTCAATATATGTGATTTATTCAACAGAATTTCTTGTTTCTTTGATTTTGTCACTATTCTCCATAAATTCATTCGGTTGCATACTGCCTTGTTATTTCTGCCTCAATAAATTTTTCAAGCTAACATGATCACTTCAGTTAGAATTTTTGCAATGGGAGGAAGTTTCGGGAAACGTTTCTAGGCACCATGATTACATTGTAATACCGTATTAGTCAAGACGATATTTCAGTCACCGTAATGTCTGCTCCAATCTTTTCAAGCAGACTTAATTATTTCATTTGAAACCTTTTCATAATGTATACATACATTTTTGTTGTTAATATATATTTACGTTAAATTATAAAATGGGTGATTGTTTAAGGTTGATGACCTCGTTTGAAGGCATGTGTATTGTGAAATTTTTAAAATGCAATTAAGTTTAACCACAAAAAATAACGAATGAAATAGACATGTCGTTTTGTGCATATACTATCGGAAACATTGATCACATGAATGGTTTTATTTTTTCGTTATATTCAAGACAAACATAAAGGTGGATTGTAACAAATCAAGCTAAAGTTTTCGTTCGTCCAAATATCCAAAAGATTTTATAACAATGATTTTCTTTAAAAAAGATATAGATAGATTACTCCAGTGATTGTCCATGTTAGGCTGCTATCTATTGTGTACATAAAGTGCTAGAATACTTAAGTTGAGTGCATCATAGCAAGAATACTTGAATATATAATATACATTGTGTGTACAGGTTTATAATTAATATCTAAATTAAAAGTTTTAGGGCAATAATTGAGAACTTAGCATGCAGTAATCCTCACTCGATTATGTACCGAATTTTCATACCAAGAGTACAATGGAAAAGGATGTGAGTTTTCTTTAAAATTGGCATATGTTTAGCATAAAACACCAAAAAGGTACATAACTCGTTTTTAAGATAATCATATCATTTGAAATAAATAACATTTTTGATTCGAGCTTCATTGATAAGTCTTTTTTAGATGAAACGCATTCAAAATCATTTTTAGACAATAGATTTATTCATCAATGTCTTTATGATATCACATAACGATGCATTTTTAGAAGTAAAGAGCACCAGTTACAACCCTAGTACAATAAAGATCAAAAGGAACCTATAAATAGAAAATTAACCTAAAGTCAACATTGCCGGAGGGATGTGGAACCTTACTTTCTTTATACTATCAATATTTATCAGAAAAATTGAGAAAGGTATGTCATAAATCATGCCAGTTTCAAAACACTGACGACTTCAGGTAAAAACAAAGAAATATGCAAAGTCACAACACATTAATATCCTACCTTCATGACTGAAGCACAGGTATTTATGTTTTAAGTAAAATATGTAGACTATAGTAATGGTTTATTTGACTTAAATATATTTTTGTCCAATAGATTCCTGTATCATTGAATTAACCGTAAGAAATGTGGTAGCACAATACCAAATTATTACCTTCATTCATTCATATTATTTTCTCGTCGGGATTCGTCACTGGAAACATCCGTTTGTTCGTTTATCTTGTTTTTTATGAATTCAGAAATATTTGTCGATATTGGCATATAAGTTGTCTCTGTCGACAATCCGTCTATATACTGGGAAGTTTAGCTTTCAATATGGTTTGCTGCTTCATCGGACTTTACAACCAAACACTTTTTCTGTGGCTTTTGATTTTGGTAGATATATCTTTTACCAAGAAAAAATTTCAGAAAAAGTCACAGTAATTTTCTTCCTTTAAGAACTAAAGGTATAAATCACCATTAACACAATCGTGAAAATATAAACATTAAAAGATGTGACAACTATCAACCAAGCACATACGTCCAAGGATGTAAACAGCTTTGGGTAACCTATAATTCTTTATAGAAAAAATAATCCTTTACCATTGACATGTATAACAAGCCAGGATTTGATATTAACATTCAAGTTACGAGTCTGGCGTACAAAATTTTAACCCTGGTATCAATGAT